AGCAACAGTAGTAAAATCAACATGGTATTGGAATCAAAACAGAGCTGAAGATCAGTGGAATAGATTAGAAGATACAACCACAACTACGAACACACTCAACCACCTTATTTTTGATAAAGGATCCAAGCAGGTTCACTGGAAGAACGACAGTCTCTTTAATAAATGGTGCTGGAAAAACTGGCTCTCCATTTGCCGAAAACTAAAACTAGACCCATGTCTATCACCATGTACTAAATTAAAATCTAAATGGGTCAAAGATCTGAATATTAAAACAGAAACGCTAAATCTATTGGAAGACAAATTGGGTAGAAACCTTGGAGACATAGGAGTAGGTAGAGAATTCATGAACAGGACTCAAACTGCACGGGAAATACTTCCCAGAATCAATAACTGGGACCACTTCTTATTAAAAAGTTTCTGCATGTCAAAAGAAATCTCCAGCATAGTGAAAAGAAAACCCACAAACTGGGAGATTTTAGTGAACTCTCTCTCAGACAAGGGACTCTTGTCTAAAACATATAAAGAATTAAAAAAACTCAAACCTCCAAAATTCAAAGATCCAATCCAAAAATGGGCATCTGAGATGAATACGCACTTCTCAGATGAAGAAATACAAATGGCAAATAAATACATGAAAAAATGCTCATCATCATTGGTCATTAGAGAAATGCAAATTAAAACCACACTGAGATACCATCTCACTCCTGAAAGAATTGCCAGGATCAAAAAAACCGACAACAAATGCTGGAGAGGCTGTGGGGAAAAAGGAACTCTCCTGCACTGCTGGTGGGAGTGTAGACTGGTACAGCCTTTGTGGAGATCTGTCTGGAGATTTCTCAAAATGTTGGGACTGGAAATCCCATTTATTCTAGCTATTCCACTTCTAGGCATATTCCCAGAAGAACTGAAAGCATCATACCACAGTGATATATGTGCACCTATGTTTATAGCAGCACAATTTGTAATCGCCAGATCTTGGAAACAACCCAAGTGCCCATCAACTGAGGAATGGATAAAAAAGTTGTGGTATTTCTATACAATGGAGTATTATTCAGCTATAAAGAAGGATCACATTGAGATATGTATCAATAAATGGGCGCAGCTTGAGACCATACTCATTAGTGAAATAAATCAATCTCACATGTGTGAATACCGAATAGTTTCCCTAATGTAAATAATGATTCAAATATATAAAAATATGTGGTAATCATGATTCCCCATTAGGTGGCCTTGAAGCCTTATAAAGTTTTCACTCATTAATTAGAAAGGCTTTATTCTGGGCTTCTTGATATGAAAATATTTGAAGCTAGAGTATATGAAGTTTTATCCAAATATTTCAAGGAAAAAGACACTATGGTAACTACTATTAAGTCAGGTTATAAGGTGGTGAAGTACTAGGTTGTTGAAACAGTCATGCTGTGACCTCTATTGTTATATTGTTATGTCCTGTTTTATCTCAATCTCCCCCTTATTGTTTCAAAAAAAATTATTTAGTCATTTCTTATGTTTGTCTTAATTAAAGAAAAAATTCAAAAAAATTAGGATATATAAATAGTAACTCTTTTCGATTTCCTATTAACTTGTTTTGAAGTCCTGTAGTACTCCCACGATATTGTTTTGACTGATTAGACTCTGTTCCATTCTATATGATAGTATCAAGTTTGAAGACATAGGCAACTACTTTGAAGACAATAAGATTCACTAAGATACCCATTCTGGTTTGACTATTGTCTTCTTTGGAAGTCCTGTAATGTTTACAATGCCTAAGTTTTATTGGTCTTGTTCTCTACTGTTTTGTCCAACTTTATAATATCTAATAAGATAGACAATTCTTTTTAAGGAAACAAGGGACAACGTTGATAACCATTGTTGATAAACTTGTACTCTGTTCTACACCATGTGCTATGTCTATCCTTGGTATTGACTGACAGCTTTGTTTTGCCATATTTGACTGTATTCTTCCCCCCCCCCCCAAAGAAAGTAATAAGCACTAAGGAGTAATAAAATCCAAGATGTGTAAATTTTGTTGTAAAAAAGAGAGGGAAAAAAAAAAAAAAGAAAAAGAGCTCTAACGGATATAACAGCAAGTGTGTTTGGGGGTGTTAAATAGCTGACTTTATCAATGTTTTTGGAACATTGAACACAGCTGTTTGCAGTCTCCCTGTTTGAATGTCCACCTTGTGTTCTTTGATACTGTGATTTGAGGAACTATTTTCAAGAAGATAGTGTGTAATCTACTAGCAGGTAATTTCTTACTGTTATGTTTTTTTGTTTTGTTTTGTTTTGTTTTGTTTTGTTTTGTTTTGTAGTTCTGTATTGCGTGTACCCTTACGCCGCTTTGGTTTGTTTTGTGTTTTTCTCTTTTTCCTCTTAAATAAAAAAAAAAAAAAAGTAAAAAGAAATGTGGGAGTAATAAAACCCAAAATGTGTAATTGTCATTGTACAAAAGAAAAGAAAAGAAAGTGCTCTACAGGTTATAACTGCATCTATGTTTAAATGTATAAGATAGATAACCATATTACTGAGTTTTTTTGGATTGTTGAACAAAACTGTTTGCACTCTCACTGTTTGAAAGTCCACTTTATATGCTTCAATTTTGTAACTTGAACAACTATTTCTAAAATGAGAATATGTAATCTATTAACTAGTGATTTCTTACTGTTTATTTTTTAAATTTTGTATTACTTGTACCCTTTTTCTGTTTTTTTCTTTTTCTCCTTAAATAAAGAAAAAAAAACTATGAGCCATAATAACCTCTCCTCTTTTGTCTTGCAAGTGTTGAATATATTGTTCAGGATATGGAAAAGTTACTAATACAAAAAACTGGTAACAGAAGTGGGGGCATTGCTGTGACTATACCTGACTTTTTCAAAACCCTTTTGAATTGGCTTGCAAAAGGAATTTGGAAAGGCTTGGAGACAGGTTAAAGAAGTTCTAAAATATTTTGAAAGTTCTTGATTTGCAATATTGTTCACAGCTCAGAACAGAATGCTGATAGGAATGTGTATCACAAAGATAAGCTCAGGAGGCTTCAAATGACTGAATATGTTAGGACGGCAGAAAATTTGTCCATATTTTGTGTATGCCTGAGACTTTTCAGGAGACTGTGATTGAGGAAAGTGAACAAATTGATCTGGATGGAAAACTTTCAAGGCAGCGGAGTGGTCAGACTGTGGCATGAGTACTGCTGGGGTCTTTTAATGAGATCTACACGGAAACTCAGGAAGAAGGAGAAGAGCTGAATGCTTTGAAAAGTCTGTAGTTTTGCCATAAAGAGGCATCTGCAAATTTGTGGCAAAGCAGAACATGGTTGCTGAAAAGATTATTGATAAAACTAAGACAGATATTTTGTCCAGGGATAAGAAAAAAGATGTCTTGAGGGCACTTTAGAAATCAGCAAAATCCCACCCACTGCAGATTCAAAAATGCAAAACTATGAATCTTTCATTGTAGAGGATACTTTCTGGGATGACTGCTCATTCAGGTTCATCTGGAGAAGTGCATAACTGAGTCCAGTCATTTAGGCATTCAGAGGCTGCTCCAGCCATGGTTCAAGATGACTCAACTACTGCTTAAGCTGGTAGCTAACCTTCGTATTATCCAATTGGTGTTGGTTATTAGGCAGGTAGAATGCAACAGTTATGAGGTCATGGAGACTTCCACTTAGATTTCACAAGAAGCTCTGGGGAATCAGACAAAAATGTGGGAAGAGGTCACAGTTCTGACCAGGAGCCCATAAATGGGTGGTGTGTGAAACTGTGGAAGAAAGGCTAAGTGTGAAGTGAAAACCAAGGAAGCTGAGCATGCTAGGAACATGGAATGTCTGCTGGAGAAAGCTGCAGGCAGGCAGCACAGCCGGCCCAACAGAGAAGCCATATAGGGGCTATAACTGGCAAGAACAGAAGAGAGGAATTTCTCAAGCCTTTGAAACTCACAACTCAACACAACCCACCCTAGGTGCTAGACATGAAACCATAGGATTTAATGATTTTTCCAAGTAGATATCAGCCTTGCTTTTGTCTAATGCTTTTCTATATACCTAGTTCCACATTTTGAACAGGAATGTACCACTGTGTATTTAAAGTATTTAACTTTCCTTTTCATTTCTCAAGGGCCCACACAGCTAAGAATCACTTTTGATTTTCAAAGGAAACTTTGGACTTGGCTTCTTCAACAACAGTCGAATTATTAAGACCACTCTTAGAAATGCATTGTACAATGAGAGAGACCTGTGTCTTTGGGAGGCCAAAGTCAGAATGTTATAGTTTACATCTCAGATGTACACAAAAAGCTTATCCTCAGAGATAGGGCTTTTGGACACAATTGGGTTAAAGGGCACTGAACTCATCAGTAGATTTGTCCTGTGATGAGTTGATAGTAGACTGTCCTCCTTGAAAGTAGGGCCTGCAGAAGACTCAGATCACTGGGAGCATGACCCAAAAGGATGTTATTCTTGTCCCTAGTTCCTGCCTATTCTCTCTGCTTCCTGACTACCATTTGGTGAACACCTTTCCTCCACTACCATTTACCCTACCTTGGAGCCAAGGAACCATGCACCAAATCCACTGAAAGTATGAACCAAAAATAAACCTCTTCTCCTTCATGTCACGGGTGTTGGGTATTTTTGTCTTAGTGGCAGAAGAGTGATTAATACACTAAGTAACTACAAAGAGATATCTTATTGGAAAATTCTTATTACTACTGAAAAAAAAAAAAAACAGTGTATGTAGAAATAAAGGAGTGAAAACTTCTGCCCTAACTCCGTCTTTTGCTTTTTTTTTTTTTTTAAGAAATGAACAATCTTCTGCTTCAGATGTTAAAGGCAGGACTTTTCTTTACCATTTAAACAAAGTATTGGATGAGTAACAACTTCAGTTAACATTACATAAATTTGAAGGTTTTTTCTAATATGAAGCTGAAATGCTGCAACTAATATGTTAACAGCAAGGAAAGTGAAACTATCTGTGATGCATATGTGAAAATAAGGGAAAGATACATACTTTTATAGTACATGTATCATTTTCATAGAGACCGCAAACTTGACAAGCACCATCATATACAACCATTATTTTGGTATTACTGAATGTATAACCATCATTAGATATCTGTAAGAACAAGTCAGACACAAAAAGTTAAATGTCATATGGTTTTCTCTTTTTGAGAAACCTAACAGGTAAATATATCAGAAAGGAAAGAGAAATCATTGGGAATTAGAAGTAGACTTTTAGAGACATGGGAGAAGATCACAAGGAGGAAAGAGATCCTGGATAGGAGTAAAAAAGTTAATAATGACCAAGAAATGTATTGTACCAGTTCCCCAGACCAGATAGCACTCTTCTGTATAGCAAACATAAACTACTATAAAAGATGAAAAACTAAATAATAAAACTAGAAACAAGGAACAAGTTCCACAGTAAGACTATTCTAAATGTAGCTTCATAAATTAATTATGAAATTCCTTATTCAAGTACTTACTTTGTTTATAAACGTATCTTTTATTTTTTACCTTCAATTGCCACTTTGCAAGTGGCTTCTCACCCATCGGATCCAGAGTATCAGATTGCTGGGCACTAGCAGGCAGCAGACAATCAACAGTTCTGTTATTATGAAAAACTGCTTGTGCGTACACGGGTTCTCCAAGCACCCATTTACTGCCATTGTACTGTAAGCATAGTGAGAAAGCAATTAATTTCTGTCAATTATGGAAATATTTTTTCTAGTGAGTAACATATGAGCAAAATATAAATTTTTGTATATATACCTAATGGAATAAGGAAATAAAAATTATACTGATAGAGAATCATTCACAACAATAACAAAAAGTATATATCTTAATTTGACATTAGCCACTTTCTGACAAATTGTACATTTCTTGGGGATTCAAACCAAAGAATTCTATATAATGGATCCTTGTGCAAAGACTTTGGGAGCAAGAGGAAATATTTGACTATGCAGTTAACACATACCAGATGAACTCCAGGGCTGGGAAACAGAAAGTGCAAGATGAGTATGAAATGTTATGCAATGGCAAAGGTTAAATTGTACAAGAAATTATGAGGATAATTAAAAAGACAGGAGCCCCAACTTGAAAGAGAACCCAATGTTCAAAGTGGGGGTAATTTAAGCAACCAAATAAATAATACTGACTTTGAATTATATTTCATAAAGTATATATTGACTAGTCCATACTGACACAAATGAATAAATATGTAAGTAGGAAACAAGAAACATTTATTTCTTTCAGTAGGACTTCAAATGATATTCATAGTAAGATGGATCCTGTCTAAAAAAGAAATAGGGAGAATGATGGAGATAGAAAATCACGACTGATAAATTTCATAATAATAATTGTTACAAGCATTTATAATTATAATTTGACCCTAAAATTAGAGAAACAAAGCATAAGGAGAAGTCTTATACTTTTGTCTAAAAGTGTCTTCTCCCAACATATGTTTTAGCTGCAAAAGGGAAATAGGAAATTTACAGGGCGATATGTAGAAAACATCCTTAAAGGACCAAAACTTATGTCAACAACAAGAAGATACACTGCAGCGCCTGAGAATGGCATAATTTTGATGTAATCAGCAGAAAGGAACATGCTGGAAAACATCTGGCTGGTACTCTTTGAAAGTCATGAAAGATAAAGACTTAGCACTGTCATAATTTAATGAAGACTGAAAAGACATAACAATAAAATGCAATATAAAAGCCTGGATTGGTTCCAGAATCAGAAAAAGGGCTGTTATTTGAATGGTTTGCAAAATTTGAACTATATCTGTGTATTATTTCATTGAATAGTATAAATGTGAAAATTGTGGTCTCAACAATTGTTTTTTGAATACGTGAAGTGTGAATAATAGAAGAACCTGGCTGAAAACTTAGTGGAAATTCTTTGTACTTTTTTTACAAGTTTTCTGCAAGTCTCAAATTGCCTCAAAAATATTTTACAGCATTATTTCATACAATGGAAAGTTATGAAGAGTTCTTTGCACAATCTAGTTTTCTAAAAGCTAAATTTTGAAGAGAAACCCAATATTCAAAGGAAATTTAAGTTCCAACAAAAAGTGAACAGAAGCCCACTCATGTTAAATGAACACATAACAAGACATTAGAAAACACTTTCTTTGGGGCAAAGAAGGTACATTCCATACTACAATCTAAGTATGTAAGAGCTAGGCTTTCTGCAGGTCCAAAATTAGATGAGTAGGGACATTAGAACAATGCCAAATTATAGAGGTTTGCATCAAATTGAATCAAAGCCTACAAAGTCAAACTCAGCTTTGGAGAAGTCTTAACCTCAGGACAATATAAAATAAATACAGTGATACCTTGATTCACAAAGACTTTTGTTTGCAAACAAAATTTTATTTCTCTTGGCAAGTCTTCCATCAGGTGACAAACACTACCACACCAAGCTCCCCACACAAACACAAATGCAGTTACATCCCTTCAAATTACAAAACAAATTGAGCTCATAAATTAAGGAAACACTGTATTCGGTATGCACTCTACTCTTGGTTTTGGCAATTGAACACATTTATGTCTTCCAATAGTTTATCTAATATGTTAGAAAATTCCAGATTTTACTCCTTATCAGATGTTTGCAAGACAGAAGTGAAAGAGTACATAAAATACCAGTACAAATGTACCTTATTAGAAAACATAAATCTATAAAATTTGCTCCTTGTAAATCATTTAATTGTAGTATAATATCATATGATTTATTATGCTAAGACTAAAACATACCTACTCTCTTGAGTGATACTGAAATTTAGATACCTAGTTCATCTATTTTTCTATTGTGTGGCACATTATTTCATTGTGATTAAATTCATCTCAGACTTATTTAGAAAAGCTATATCCATGAAATGTATATTATCCTATATTTGCTGTACATAAATATATGGTAAAAATATACAAAAACTATTTCCTACAGTAAATACTCAATCTCAGAATTACAAGTTTTTATTAACTTATACAGTAATAAAAATGCTGAAATATAACTTTATATTTTAAGTCTCAGCTTATTCACAAAAATCCTTTTTATATTCAAAGGAGTTCCCTGGAAATAAAAATTCCACTTGAGTAAAAGAAGATCATTTTACAAATAATGATCAAAAAAGTTATAATTTGATATAATAATGTTCAAACTAGATGATCAGTTCTGCTTTTGTGGCCCTAAGAAAGTCAATTTGGGAAAGGATATTTTCCCTTGTGAAATCCATAGTAAAGGACATATGAAAATGAACACTAGCTTTTTATTTTCTAAAAGGGAAATATTCATATTTCTGTATCATACGGTTCAAGGAGCATGTCTTAGCCAAAAACAATCTTCATTCTTTGTTTTTGCATTTCAAGAAATATGGATTCTCGATATTATGTCAAGCTCAATATTGCCTTAGTCTTTCTTGACTGAAAATAGTGAGCCAATACTTCAATATTAGGCAAAATAATAAAACTTACAAACAAGGAAACTTTTGAAATTAAGCGACTAAATCACTTTTTTGTGTTTATGCCTTGTGGATATAGCATCCTTTGGAATTATGTTGCTAATTGATAGACTAAACTAATCCAAGGTAAAATTAATCTGAATAACACATTAATTCAACCGTTTTGAGCAATCTGTCATAGAGTCCGTAATTAACATACCTTCAGTTTAGTAACTTCACATATAATGGAAGGCAATTCCTTGAAGCCTTGTCCAAAAACTTTCACCATCACACAATTGTATTTTTGAACATCACAGAATCCAGCATTCTCAAGCTCTATAATTTCAGGTTTGTCTGTGGGAAAAAATCGCGACAAATACGACATTTTTAATTTCAGGAAAAAGCTGTCTAATTAGTTTGAATTTCCAATTTGGGAATGTATGTTAAATAACATTTCAAAGCACTGTATATCCTAGGAATTATTTTATTAAATATTAAGAGTAATCTGGAATAAAAGAAGTGTTACTATTAACACTACCGATAATGTCATTACAGACACTACCAGTGTTTATATACACAAATAATGTGTATATAAGGGAACCGAAGAGTGATTTGTTTACTGATTAAAAGAACCAAATAATGTTTAAATAATATATGATATCAAATAAGAACAAGTATTAAGAAATAACTATTATAATGAAATAGGTTTTGGTTTTGTCACTTAGTTTGTAACACATAGATGGGTAATGATAAAAATACTTTTGTAATAAAATAGTGTTAATTGGTGCATTGTATCAAAATTTTAAAAATTCTTAATTTAAGATTTAGAAAAGTTTTCAAAATTTAAATATTCAACTGTTCTAGGGTATTAATATTTTGTGTATTATTGATTACTAGTCTACATACTACCATAATTTCATATGTACTATTCAATTCAAGGAGAAAAAATTCTTATAGCAGTCAGAGTTAACTGACCTCCGTATGTCTGCCTATAACCAGACTTTGTAAGAGCATATAGTATCCCTGTCTGTGAGTGTTGGTTGTAACACAGACATACGCAGTTTATAAAATAATAGAATCTTTGCTTGAGTTGTAGTGAAATCTAACTGAATATAAGTTTGCAGCAACAGGGTTCAAACAAAATGATAAATTACATGCATTTACAACCCTAAAGTTATGAAAAACATCATGGATAAGCATATTCCTTTCTACATTCAACAAATGTTTATTTGGCAATTTCTTTGCATGTAATGTTATTACAAGGTATACAGTAATGAACAAAACACTCTCTGCTTTCATGTAATTTACAATTTAGCATAGGACAAAAATAAACAAATGAAAAATAAGAAACATATCTATATTTCCAGAAATGTGGAAAAGATTAATTAGCTATAGTAAGGGAGGTAAAAGCTAGGAGGCTGTTGTTTTGAATGGCCGCGGAGGGATTTTCTTACACTTTGATGTCTGAGCAGAGAAGTGAAGGACATCTGTCCCAAAGACCTGTGATAGAACACTGCTCTGCTGAGAGGCTGCAGTAAGAGCAAAGTCCTAAGGAAGAAACAGGCCACAAAGTGGCCAGTGTGGCTAGGAGCAGTGGCCTAATGGGAGAACAGGGGATGAATTAACAGTGAGGGAGTTTCAGATTATCTGGGATTGCTAAATCACGGAGGGATTATGAATTTTAGTGGGAAAAAAAGATGGAGAGCAGTTCTAAAGGATTAAGAAGAGGAACAAGCAGCATGATTGGCTTAATATTTCAAAGAGTTCATTTTGATTGCTGCTATATGGAAACTAAGCACTGGGAAAATCTGTGATGACCCAAGGGAAAGATGGTGGTGGCTTGGAGCAAGGGTAGAGATGAAATGCTTTGAAGTCACAGCTGGACTTGGTACCAGTGAATTAAAGTTGAGGAACAAGAAAAAGAAGTCAAGAACGACTTCAAGTCTCTAACTTGAACAATTAGAGAAATGAAGTGTGCATTTGCTTAGATAGAAGAGATCACAGATGGAAAGTAAAGGATGGTGGTTATTGAAGGGAACCGAAGAATGATTTGTTTACTGATTAAAAGAACCAAAGCAACTTTGAAAAAAATTCTTGCACCAATACATTGAGATTAAATGATTTGTACTACATAGAGTGGTTGGAGAAAATGATTTAGTGTAAACAGCAACATAATATTAACACAGTGCTTAAAATATACCAAGTTTGACTTTTAGGGGAAAAAATATTTTCTAGATGTAGAAGGACCTGTTGAAAAGAAAGGCCCTGAGGTTTAAAGAACCTGGCATTTTCAAGGTATAATACAGAGACCAAAGTGGTTGAGGTGGAGGGGCGGACAGGTTGACATTAGCAGGGGACGAGCTCAGCAGGGTCATGGTGTACCTTCCTGTTGGTTTCTAAGACTTCAGCTTTCATTGACAGAACGCATTTTGGAAATTATTAATGCATTAACCAATATAATTTGGATTCCTAGCTAATCTTAATAAATCCTAAGATAAAGGCCAAAAGTAAATATATTTTCATAATTGAATGTCATACACAACATCGACAGCAGACAGACTTTACTTACCATACAAGGCACTGCAGTCATAGGAGCTAAAGCCTGGGGCGCACACACATCCCCATTCCATGCACTCCCCATGGCCACTGCACAAATGGGGGCATTTTAATACCAGGAGAATGTCTTCCATTGACTTGCCATATTTTTCTGTGCTATGTTTCCCCTCTTCCAAAACCCTCCTTTCACATTCATTTTCTATAAGGGCCAAACCTGCTTCTGCCCAGCTAACATCATCTTTCAACAGAACATCCTTAATGCACATATCGATAACATCCTTCAGTCTCCTTCCGAGAAAGGCAAGACAGAGCTTTCCAAGACTGGAATGGGCGAGAGTCTGCTCACAGAGCGCCAAGGTGCTGTCCTCGGTTAGACCAGAGGGTGTGGGCCAAGAGGGAACAAATTCTTGGTGGACTTTTTCAATATGGTCTTCAGGGAAAAAATAAGTAAGCTCTTCAAGATTGATTTGGCTGGAACTTTGGAGAGCAGACAAAGCAGGAAATGCATTAAAGTTTTGCCGTTTCCATCTCTTCTGTCCATGCCACCTTGTGTGTTGGCCACGGCCAGCCTCATCCTGTGCTTGCTTTTCATTGTCCAAATATTTTGATGCATTTTGCTTTTCCTCCCCAGGATATTGCAAATTTAAGTCCAGTTCAGCTAGGTTCATGTGGGCTTTTTCTTGCAGTAAGAAATTTAAATTATTTTCTTCTCCTGATGTCTGTTTTCTTATCCCTCCCTCAAAAACTTCAGAATTAATATATTCAGAGGTGACATCTAGTTCTGGTATCAAAGAAGAGAATCTAACATGTTTGAAGTCTTTGCAACCTGAAGCAGTTTCTGATCGAGAAACACCATCCAGATGATTAGAAAATTGATAATCTGAGGTGGTATCCAATGAGCAGCTACAGTAGGGTGGTTTTGGAGGCAATGTCAGAGAAATTGGCATTGTGTCAAACATGCTTTTTCCTGGTAAAATTCTTCTCGATGGAAAACAGGAAAGACTAATTATTTGAATGAGAATATTTATTCCCCAGTAACATATTACTAAAAAGTGTGAAATCACCACCCATTTAAATGAAAGTATATTTCTTACCTCCATTCATTAATAAAAGCAACAAAATCATTGAAATCTTCATCAATTTTTATCCCATTTCTGTCATGGAAATCGTTTTCTGGGTTTTCATCAAAGGTACCACAAAGGCCCAAAGTGTTTTTGTAATCTACACTAGGAGCTCTGATTGTTAAACTCATGCCCCATTCACTAAGGTCAGAGCGGATAAATGCTCCAGAAGAAAACCAAATCTGAAACACAGAAGTAATCAACAGAGAAAAAAACTTTAATCTATATTCAGTATGAGCCAAGAAAGTAAGTTTTATTTAAGAAATAAGAAAACACACTGAGTTATCTGTTCCATACAGAGAGTAAAATGCTGGTTTTTTTTTTTACATGACAACTTTTGTTAATGCTGTAATTTCAAAGTAACAGATTTATGCTGCTGATTTGAAATTTGAGTTCCATATTGATTTTTTATTGAGATATATTATTTGTAGTTGTTTTAAGTAATTTAAACTAAAATATGATATTTTATATAATAAAAGCTACAGATCTTAGGAATAAGGTTTATCAAGTCATGCTTCTAATATATTCAATATGGCACTTGACGACCAAGTAATTTATTCACACAGATTACATGTAATTCCAGAGGAGTACACATAAACATCACCTTACTGTTGTTAGGCTCATCAAATCACAAACCAAATTGTAACCAGAGCTTTCCTGGGAATCACAGCAAAAGGAGTTTCTTGAATGATTCTAACAGCTTGTATCATCCAACCATGAGCTACCTCTCTGGATTGTAGGAATGCCATCTGTCTCAGAACAGCCAGTTGAGGGTATAGGGGGAGAAACTATCTCTTTTGAAAGCCAATGAAGTTGCACTACTTGTGTTTTCTTCTCTTTTTTATATTCCTTTTTAATATTTTTTGAATTTAGCAATAGTGGTTTCTTTTGTTTTTACAAGAATGGTTTTGTGTTCATTGCCAAAAATTATGCATTAGAGAAATGGGAACAAAACTTATAATCTTCAATCCAGCTAATTTTCTTGCAAATTCTTCAAACTTTTCTTGAGTAGCATATCAATATCCCTGTTTATCTTCATGTACACCGTTATTCCATCATATTCATGACATATACAATCTGTTCCTCACCAATTACATTTAGGATTTCAGCTAAACCTAAGTGATCGTAGATTAATTGTAACTTTTCTCTTTCACAAATAGAGACACAATGAATTACCATTATGATATTGTATACCCTGAATTATTTTATTCAAATAAATTTCCAGAATTAAATATCTTTTTTAAAATGACATGAGAGTTAAGATTATATATAATATATACACCTCCAGAAAGACTAACTTTTCTACTATCTCCTCTTGCCAAAATTCTATGAAAGATGTTTGATCTGTATTTATCTAGCTGATTGCTAATGTAGTTACTATATTCATAATTTTGTTGATTATATGAATTTGAACATTCTTATCAGTATCAATCCTTTGTGAATTGCCTTTTATATTATTTGCTCTTTTTAACTGGAGTGTTGATTATATATTAGATGATTATGAGAATTTTACATATTGAGTATATAATTTATATGTAACAAATAGTTTTCCAGTTCTTGATTTGTGTTTTCTTTTTGATGATATAATTCTGATCTATAATGCTATATTCCAAAATTATTGTTCATCTCATTAAATATAAAAAACATAACACATTTTTAAATACACTTTAAAATTAAATTATATTTACTTGAGATTAAGCCTTTTGAAAGATGAGAGGAAGATAAATATCACCTTATGGTACAAATAGCTCACATACATGAACTATCATTTTAAAAACATATTAATGATTATACACTCTTGGGTAGCATTTTCGACTTTTTTTCTCTTCCTACTTACTTTACTAACCAGTTTCTGATGTAGCAACACACTGTTGATGAGAAAATTGGTTAAGTCTTTCTGAATATTTAATTTTCAGCTCCTATCATATTTGTCTATTATAGTTTTTCTTAGATACAGGCAGAAATACTTATATGAGAAATCCACAAAGTTGTCTTATTAAACATTAAGTAATGGAATTTAGATTTGATAGTCTTAATCTATATTATGTTTACTTGCATGTGGTAGGTGGGAAATATTTTAATATCATAGGTCATATGAATGCTATTTTCTTGAAAAGACTAATATTGAAAAGTGGTAGCTCTTAATTTAATGAAAGTAAATAACAGTTCATCAAAAATGACAATGCAGAGAAACTTTTTAAAAATAAAAATCAGACATACTGTGACTTTTCTTCCCAAGTAAGATTCACTTATCTTGATATTGCTGGATACATCTTGGCTCTTCACAAATAAATATGATTGTGATGCATGCAGCTGACCATTGCACATATCAAAAGTAACCAGAACACCTTCTTCTTTGGCCACAAACCCGCAGTTACACGACACAGGATAGTAAAGACTTCCACAGTCCCACTGACGCACATGGATCTCAAAATCACGCAATGTACTCTTATAAAGCACAAATGTTCCAGTCTTGAAATTATCATATATCCTGTCATCAACGAAAGTCAATTGCAATCAAGAGTGAGTACAAAATATCACAACAGCCTAAGCCAAAAATTTGTATTAAACGTATTTATAGGCATTCAGTGTATTCTGATGTTGGAGAAATCTAGATTACTCAAAGGTTGGAGTCATGAGCATTTGTTTGTAGGCACTGAATGAAACAAAGTTGTGTAAAACATCTCTCAGTCTCTCCCAGTGCCCTTCTCTTTCACCACTCCAGTTTGGCCACACACCCTGAGGAGGGAGACTTACTGCATGTGTGTGCACACGGCTGCCCTTTCCACCTTCTTCAAGGACTTGTCCAGTTATTTCCCTCACTTGGTGGCTTTCTGTATCCATTTTGTTTGTTTGTTATTCTTTTACTTTGGGAACAAGCCTGTGGCCTTCCAGCTGAACTACATCCCTTAGTTATTTATTTATTTATTTATCTTGAGACATAGTTTTGCTAAGTTGTTAAATTACCCAGACTAGGCTAGAACTTCTGCTTCAAACAGCCAGAACAATAGGATTATAATCATGTGCTACCATGCCTGGCTCCATTTGTTTGTTTTTTGAGACATGTTCTTGCTTTGTAATGTAGGCTAGACTTGAGTTTGCTATGTAGCCGAGGTTGGCCTCAAATTCACAGCCATCCTCCTGCCTCGGCCTCCTACATGCTGGGTCCAATCTATTTTAATATAAATTGCAAATCCTCCTTCCAGCTTTTCCACACTCCTGATTAACTTTTCTTTATGGCATACATATACCTCAGACATGCTACATATGTTTTTTATGGATGCTGTTTATATTTCTCTGTACTTTGTCAAAGGTCAGTTCCACAAGAGCAGGTAGAGTTCATATATTCTGCTCACTGCCAAGTATCCAGCATTTAAAACATGGTCCAATACATGGTGTTGAACTAGGTTGGATTAGATGCATCACTGCTGTGCTTTCCTGAAGTCTCTCCACCAACATGGTTTTTATTTTGTTTGTTTGAGAGACAGGTTCTGATTGTGGAGTTCAGGTTGGCCTTGAACTCCTGGTAACCCTCCTGCCTCTGCATCTCAAGTGCTGTGATTTCAGGCATGCACCACCATGGGTAGCCTCCACCGAAGCTTCTGAGCCTTCAGTCATAAACATTTGCAACCCTTCAATACTTACTTAGATCTGTGCAGTTTCACTTTTATTGAAGGTTTTCTACTCAATGTGTGTGTATCCACTCATACTGAATAATTTTACTGGCAATCAAATTACAATAAAAAATCTTCCATTATCAGTTAAATTTTCATTCAAAATGAAGTATCAGCTTCCTTTAGGACAACCAAGTATTATGAATTCCTCTGGAACAGCATCACTGAGTTTAACTCTTACAATGCAGATATTAATAACAGGATTTTTTGATACTTTTTGGTCATTTTTGCTAGCTATTCTTTAGTTCCAGAGGCAAATATCATAATAATCATAAAGGTTTTAATAGCTTTTTCCCTGAGTACTCATCATAAATTAGGAATGATTAATTTTTAAAATAATCTAACATGTTAGTTTAAAGATTTTGGCTATACTTTAAAGATTATTTTATTATTATACATTATTATTTTAACATTATATCTTATTATTATTATACAGAAATGTAACAGTAAATATTTTTACTGCAAATAGTTAGTTTTTGAAAAATAAACAATGGCCAAGTGAAAACAATTGTCTGTATTTTAAAATAATCTTTACTTCTACAAATTCAGGCTCACAACTATTACATATTTTACTAAGGACTAGATCTACAGCAAAAATATGTACACACAGAGTAATACCTTGAAACAAACCAATGACAGTGACACTCATTTGTCAGTGCCTCAACCTAAGAAATAACAAAAATATGCTGTTTAGAATAAAACAACAATAGAAAGAAACAAACATAAGCCACTAAAAGAAAAACTTACCTTCCATCAAAGGTTATTATATGTGGGTCAGTAAATGAATAGCAGTAAGCAGTTGGGATATCCTTAACTCTGATCTTAAAAACAAAAAATACTTGGTAAATATGACCATTATTTATTATTTAGGAACAATAAATATCTTGGTAATTGCAACAAACTCTTATTTTTATCATTGCTTTGCAAAATGAATCATTTAAAAACTAAACTAATTTATCAAATAATTTTAGATGAAAATCGATGATCTAATAATATAAATACTTATTAAAGGTTAGATTATAAAAATCATTTTCTAATTCTTCTACCTGGATGCTGTCTGGAATGTAGTTGTTCCAGAGGAAGTCCTCATTAACTATAGGTTGCACTATGATGTTTGTGACTCTGTCGCCATCTGGGGAAAAATCTGGTACAGCAGTGTAGTTCACAACCGCATAGCTACAGGTCCCACCGTCACAGGGTGATGTCTGGTGAAGATCCACATGACAGGAAGACAGTGCTAGATTTAAGCCTAGGTGCTCTGCATCTGTTTGAATGAAAAAATACATTAAAAAATTTCCTAAGGGTATATGTTCTAAGCAAAATATATAATAGCTTTATAAAGTCAAATAAACTAAAAAGTCTTAAATTTTTTTAAAAATATATGGTTTCAATTTTTGCCCAAATTGAAACAAAGCTCTAATGTATATGCATATACATACATGTTATTGTTTTTAATGAAATTAAAATCCATATTCATTTAGATAAAATTCAGAAGTGATAAATAACCAAATAACAATAGAAATGGAAAATGCTAAAATGCAATTTGATAATACATATTGCATACATGTATTAAAGTATCACACTGTACTCTAGAATGTTATGCAGTATTATTTATTAAAATATTTAAAGAATTTTAACAAGATAAAAATCAATCAATAAAAATGATCCTCGTTTCTATAACAATCAGAATTCAAAATATCAAAGAATATAATTTAATTTTTTTCTGGCAACAATTGGGCTTGAGCTTAGGGCTCAACTACTTCTTTAATATTTTTTCAGGACATGTTCCTGCTCTATGCATTATTCAATGGTAGCACTGAATCTAATTTACGTAGAGTCCATCATCTTAAAAATTGAAAATACAAAATAAATAAGGTAACCCTCAAACCAGTGATAAACTGCTTCTTTTCAGTTTCCAAATGTCCCAACATATTCAAAATATCGACATGTTATCTCAGTTATATAGCAAAGATACAAAAAACGAATTTGAAAAAGAAAAGCTAACACAAAATGAAGGAAGTCGAGAAATCTGTGTAACTAAACAAAAAGAACAGATTTCTCCAAAAAGCTGGGCCTAAAGAATGTATATTTTCGTATGTTACTATTGACTATAAGATCCTTGGAGAATCAAGGAGTGAGAAATAAATTAAAATTTTCCTATCTTCTTTTGTTCCATGCAGATTTTAAGGTACAACATTGTAATGATCAGATGTGAGTACACTGAACTAGATTCAAAATTCCACAGAGATTGTTTTCTGTTACCCACTTTTTCTTGAAATACACTCTGCTCTCACACATATAAAAATTAATGGAAACATCCGAAGTCTTAACGTTCTCTGTAAGGTGAATGTGGAGTATTTCTGGCCTAGAAACAACCCATGATATCATTTCCTGAGCTTATGGTATGAGGGCCAAGTGTCATTCTTTGTAAGCCTGTTTTTTTTTTTAAAAAGCAACATATTCTCTGCAGAAATAACCAATTTTTTTCTAGAAAAGCAAAAAGTTTAAGAGAAATACATTTAAAGAAAATAAAATGGGGACTATTCAGAAGGAAATCCAGAATTTCTTCTGTAAATAGAAAGAAAATCATTTTTAGCTGACAAAGAATAAGGACAGACTTCTAACATGTAGGAAATATACTCAGGCTCTCTATATGGACATAATTGCCTTATTGAATGAATTCAAAATATGATGCAAATATATTTTAAAGTATACCTGAAACTTAAGGAAATCATTGCCTAATATAATTTTGGAGTATATCAAATTTATTTTTCCCTATAAATTGTGGTAAGATTTGCATGGTATGGTTTTTGGAAAATCTTGAAGTACAATTTTGTCAGTGATACAGTGCATAATTTTGTATTTCTGAGCTAATTCAAAGTAACTTGCTGCTCATGGAGCTTCTGCAATGTGGGTAACTGGGTTGCATCTAAGCCTGTTTCAGTGCAAATTCTCTTAGTGTGACATCTCTAAATTCCCCATTCTACTTCCTTGTTCCATCTTTTATCTTGGATACATAAACTGTGTGTGGTCTTTTTATTTCTCATGCTTAATTAGGTATGGCATGAATATTAAGACCTAGTTAACTTGCTTTTGGTATACTAACTAAATACATATTATGTTCTTGAGTAAACAGTCAGTAATGCATGAATGGAATTTTAATCACTCACAGGTTCTACTTTAATCTGTGTATCTGTTACTTGTTTTGAACATAAGCTTAAGGGGGAAAAGAACTTGGGCAACCCAACCACTGCTATATATGACTTGTCTTTTTATACCCTATTTCGTCCAGTGAGAGGATTTTCATGCTTTCTGTATGGGCGCAACAGTGATATACATGGGGCCACGCATCTTAACTCTGTAAAGGTAGTAATTTAAACAGAAAAGTTATAAGACAAAAGATCTCACACATAAGCTTACAGTAGGGCAAGAAGTGTGAAGAATGCATTATAAGATCCATGATACATAAACTTGCATAATTTATCAAACCTTCATTGAGGATGATTTGCAAAAATCTTAAAGAGCAGTTTGTCCCTCTCTGCAAACAAAACAAAGAGAAGAATAACTAACAAGATAAAGAAAAGTGGAATAAAAAACAAGCAGAAGAGGAAAAAGGGGAGGGAGAACAGAAAAAAGACCTTAAAAGGAAGTTGTTCATTTTTTTAAAAATAAGTATGCTTTGAGCTCAGAAAGAATAAATATGAATTTCTTCTTGACAAACATCAGTTTAATCTAGCATTATTAGTCTGATCTATCCAGATCATATTATTAAAATTAGATTAATCTAGAGTGTTACCTTGATCAACAGTTTTCAGTTTTAAGGAGACTTTGCATGCTTGCTCAAATTCACTGAACTCAGAACAAACAATAGGAACCGTGCTCTCTATCCTCAGCTGGTGCTCCTTCCCATCCTCTGATATAGTGCTCAGTTCAGGTTGTAACTGATGGAAGAAAATTTGAACAGCAGTTTCATCAAAGTAGAATTTATTTCTAAAGTATAATTTGAAACCACACTTTCTCAGCATCTCCCCTTTTGCTAAAAGAGCTGGTGGTAATTTAATTTGTTAATTAAATTAAAATCAATTAAAACAAAAACAAATAAATATATAAGCAGTATGTAGAGAAGTACATGGAGTCACTACAGGGCTCTGGATTTAGACTCAATTTGGTTCCACGAAATGTTTTGGGTAAAGTTCAGCCTGCTTTAATGATTCTAGTTCTATGGTAGTCATTGGAAAATAGAGGAGATGCAGATTTCTGTATCTTTCTATTTGTTAGCTAACGTTTGCTGACAAATCAATGGAAGAGTCTGGTTATTTTGAGGGACTTACACTCACCATCTTCATTAGAAATTTGGTTATTTTAATATTGGTGGCATTTATAAAAGTTCAGCCCTTGGCTTATTTCTGAAGCTCTGCTTTTTCACAGTTAGACTGAATAGTGCTTAGAACTATTCCTCTTACACTTCACCAGCCAAGCTGTTTTGGAAGCAAGGTCTTTTATTTTTAAATGCACTATGGTAGGGAGTTTTGGTTTTGGTTAGCTCTGGAAACAGATGTTTCTTAGAACTGACTATTCTCTCTATTAGCTTAATGAGGAACAGTTTCTGGGGGATGACCACTGGCCCTTGACGTAGTCTGCTGAGCAGTTAGCAATGTAGATCAAAAGGTTCCCAAGTTCCCAAGATCTGAGCTCTGCTTCGCCTTAACTGTGGGAAGGCTATTCCAATGATGCAGTCCATTCTTTGTTTCCTGATTCCTACTGTGTATTCACTGTGACTTCAGCTAGAAAAAAGGTTTATTTTGATCCTGAGTTTTGTCCTCATAATCTATCAGTTTTCCTTTCTTGTCTGTAAACTACAAATGAGTCCAAGTCAAACTCCAGTTTTGTGAATAAAAAAAACATCCCTGATGCACTGTGCCTGCCAGGTTTTGCCTCTTGATATTTCCATTGTCAGGCACCTTCCATCACTTCTGATTCCCTGTAACCTTTGTTCACCTGTTAAAATAGCTCATTAGCTCTTAGACATGGTGCTACAATGCAATTCATAAAGCCCAGATCTCTGAAGCAATTTTAGTCGCATCTCTACATCTTAACCTGGTACTGCCCGTCAAAAATGCACAAAAGCTAAACACTGATATGCTAACTTTTGGTTATATAATAGAATGAATTATGAGAATAGAGTCTTTGCATTTTCCTGATTTGTTTTTTCTATTTTTAAAAAGCAACAACACAAAACAAAACAAAAAACAAGTTCTCTTTTTATGAAGACTTAAATTCTGAATTTTCTATTTTATTGATGATGCAAAAGCAACACACTTTCAGTAGAAACTATACTTTAAATTTTGAATTTTAATCTTTTGTTTGGCTGCGCTATTCCAAATATACTCTCCCCTGAAGCTGGCCAGGACAGGGGACCACAGAGCCCAGAAAGAGTCATGTGATCAAAAGAGTCACAGACCTGCATTCTGCAATACGCTAAATTGCTAAGCTATTGCAGTGTTAGGGAGGTTAGGTGCATTAAATACATTTGTGGCTTACACTACTTTCAACCTTTGATAAATTTACTGGGAAGTAACCTTATCATAAAACAAAGAACATCTGCATATCCCAACTTGAGTCCATTAGCAGAGGTTTTCAAGTTTTGTTGCACATTAGAAATATTAGGAGTGTTCTTCAAAAATACAGACTCCTGAGTTCCAACGTTCTGATTCAGTTTGTGCATACGCCAGGCATATCAGAGACAGATCACAGTTTTGAAACGGTTTCAGAACAGAGTGTGTAGTCCCTTCCCCTGAGTACCTACCTTAATGCCTGCAAAAAATTCTCTGCTTTCGCTGGCTAAACTTTGTACATGTGGTTTCTCCAAGAAAAAGACGGAAGCACTACAGAATATCTATGAATACAGTTAACAAACAGTTACCAATGAAATTACAGAGAAACATATAAATCATTGTCTTCAAATTCTTAATTTAGTGATAGATACTGTCAACAGATAAAAGAATTAAGCACTTTGTTTTATTTATTTATTTATTTATTTGGTACCAGGGATCAAACTCATGACCTTGTGCTTACTAGGCAAGTGCTTAAGCCACTGAACTGAATCCAAGGCCCAAGAATTAAGGACTTTAAATACTTGCCTGAAATTTTACAAAATTCCATCATTATAAAATGTTACTTACTTGAACATTAACATGAAGTATAGTAGATTTTTATGTAATACATATTTGAAAATAGATAAAAGTGATATCACTGAAAAAAAGAAAAACACAGTTTTCTACAGATAAGGGAATCCTTTTAAAACCTAAAAAAAGACATGTAGTTACAAAGATTCATCAATGATAATCAGTAAATTTCTCAAAGGAGATGTTCATGGATAATCAGACTATATTACTGATTCATCTAATTATCACTAGAACTAGCACAGTTACCTTGGAGGAAAAAAAGTGCAAAAAACATAATGCTTTATATTCTGAGGTCAAAATTTGCCCTGTTTAAAAAATAGTGCATTATTGAAGATAAAAGATAGTCCACATTGTAACATACCTTATCGCCAAGTCTGAGATTTATGCCATCAAGTTCTAAAAGAGAGAATGACTGAACTGTGGTCTCTTGTTTCAGCTCTTCTTTGATTTCTTGAGAAGAAAGCCTAGACCAAGTTATGAGAAATCCCACCGAGGCATTGGACGGGGAAACATCAAAGGCACACCTACAGAAAAGCCTGGACTCGATCACCTCCACCACAATCTCTGGCCTTCCCGGAGGTGGAGGCGGCCATGAGGGCAGCAGTTGTCCTGGTGGGAGAAAATGCAAATTTGTAAATTGAGGATCTTAAAGAATGAAGATTGGCTTATGAGGAAAACACTCGAAGATTACAACTCTGGTATTTCTCTTAAGGAAAAATGCAACATGTTCAGAAAAAAAATGATTATTTTCCAGCAGTCAACAAATTAACACATTCATGTTTGATCTACCTATATGTATTGCTTGACAGAGCAACTTTGCTTATCAGGGTCATACTGATGCAAGCTGTCTGCCTCTGAAGAAATCTGCTTCTTGAAAATAAAAGTAATTTACCTTCTTTTAGGCAATTATCTTTTCTAAAAGACTAAAGAAACAAAATTCAAGCTTTGTACATTATTATTTCTTGTTACGAAGAAAAAGTCACTATAGTGTAAAAGCAAATGACTGTCTTTTACTTTGATAATTTACTCTTACAACTCAACTTCAGCCAAGAAGAGCTACTCATTCTGGGTGACTACACTGACAGTTAAATAAATTGTCAAGTAAAAAAACAGTAATTTTTTTCAATTTTCTGAGACTAAAATAAAACAAAAATCTTTGGAAGTCTTTCAGGCCTCATTTCGCAAATGATCAGAGTTAAAAGAAAAATGTGTAAATACATCATACTAGTTTCTAGAAGAAGTTAGTTTTAATTTCTGCCTATTATGAAAAATATATATTGAAAAGAGAAAAATTTTAAAAACAAAGTCTTTGGTGTTTATTTTTGATATACATGCAGTCTTCCTGGAAAACCAAATGGAGCTGTACTGTATAATCTAACTTCTTTAGCCACAATAATGGATCAATACCTACTAAAGCTACAGAAAGTACACCTACATTTTAATGCTTTTTGCTGAATACTCAGTCACTATTTACCTATTAGAAGTATTAAATCAGTTGTTCCTGTATATTTGACAATTCTTTCTTTTCACATTATTGAAAAATATTTTGCTTGCAAATTTCCTTGAATAGTTCTCTAAAATGGATTTTTGGAAGTATAAATATAAGTACAAATACATGTAGATTTTTAAGAATATTGAGATAAATTACCAAATTTTGTCATGAAAAATCCCACCAATATTCACATTTTTCTTTAATTATTGTATTTTGGTTAACTTCAGAAATATTTCTTCAAGCATGATAACATTCCTTTTTATTTTTTTATATATTTCAGGTGGTAATACTGTCTTTTATTTGTATAATTCAATATGCAAAGACACAGAATATAAATAACTAGTTGAAATTATTAGTTAATAAGTATACACATTATTTAAAAAGAAAATCACTAATTTATAAGTACATTATTTTAAAAGAAAATATTATACTTACCAATGCAGTCACCTCCTATTTCTATTTCTTCAGGACCACATGTGTGTAATTTTGTGTCAGAAATAGCTGCAAATAGTTAAGTTTTAAAATTTATTCAAATGGGCACAGAGATATAAACATACATGTATCTGACGTATGTTTTAATATTGGACCAAGACTTTCTTAATTGTGTATTCTGTTGTTGCTGTTTTGTAATAATTGTTTTCTTTAGCGAATAGGGCCTGTATTTCAAAATAATCAGAGCTTTCATATACTATGTTCTAAATTTGAATCTGCACCACTAAATAATGAAACATACGTGACAATATCAAAGCAATAAGAACTCTCATGAAGCATGGAAATGTAGTACTGTACAGTCACTCTGAAAGACAATTTGAAAATTTCATAGACAAATACATTTATCATCACAGAGAAAGCATGCTTTATGGTATTTACGCAAAAAAGTTGAGGGCCAGGGATTTAGCTCAATGGCATAAGCGCCTGCTTTGCAAGTGTGCAGTCATGAGTTTGATCCCCAATACCAAAAAGAAAAAGAGTTGAAAATTTCAAACTAAAACTCAAACATGAGTATTTATAAATATGAATATTTATAGCACCTTAATTCGGAATTTGATAATTGTCTCAGTATTTTGGGGGAGCAATTTTAATATGATATTTATATTTTAGCTTTATAAAAGTTTTACATTTGAGCTTTTATATTTGAATGTATAAATTTTATGTTTTTCATAATACATGTTTTCCTAGAAATTTTGTAATTTTTAGCTTTTATATTTTGGTATATCACTATTGAGAGGATTTAAGGTGTTTCCTTTGGATTTGATGAAAAGTATGGACTAAAGTTGCCTCTTTTTCATATGAATTGTATTTCATGCATGTGCAGACAATATCATTTCTGTATTACTATGTTGAAAATTAGTTATCTCTATGGATATTGGGCTATTTCTGGGATTTATTTTTTCATTGATTATATTTGCTTATCCTGATACAAATTATATATATATATATATATATATATATATGACAGGCCTGTGCAGCCACATCAGACTGAGAACATTATCTTTCTTAACTAGTCTCTATCTGAGGTAAAATACATAATGCCTTATTTTCTTAGAGATTTTTGATCAGTAATAACATATTTGCATCAAATTGAGAAACCATTTGAAAAAACAAAAGTGGAATTGGGGTTTTTAAGCAAAGTGGAATTGGCAGTTTTAAGCAAAAAACAGTTACAAACCTTCTAAAGTATTAAAATTGTTACTTTTCATTGATAAAATTGGAAGAAATACTTAACCATGGAGAAAACATATGGTCTTTATGCTGACATTAAAAGATAAAACTTTTAAGAGATAAAAACGCTAAATATGTTAAATTTTTTTTCTATCAATGCTGGTTCAAATTTCCTAGCTATGAAAAGCATTATTTTTTAAGATTTGACATTTATTACGCCCAATTAAATTATTAAAATTCCAAACAACAGATTTGTATATGCATGTGTGTGATGATGGGGATTGAACCCAGGGCTTTACACATGTTAGGCAAGCCCTCTACCATGGAGTTCTGCCCCAGTTTTAAAGTTTTACTTTAACTACTCTAAGAACTAAATAACTGCTGTATTTGTTTTGCTGTTATCCGTGCTTTGTGGTTGGTTAGTTTGGAGGTTACTGGCTTAATAATGAAAATGTTTTAAGTGTTACGGATACAATAATTACTGTTTGCTGAATTAAAGGTTTGCCTCATTCGATAACAACAATCTACGACACGATTTGAGTCTCCTACATAGATTTTGAGTTGTCTAAACAGTCCAAGCCAAAACAAATAAACAAACAATAATGTCATTATATAGTTTCTGTTTTGAGTCTCCTGCAGCTGAGGAGTTGGAAGATTTATTTCACTAAACACTGTAGACAAGCACAGTCTTTTTGACAACAATGTATCACAGCACTCTAACATAAAGGGCATACTGTCTACTTTCAAAGAGTTCCTAGTCATAGTTCAGCATAGTTTGATTATTTTCCTCTATTTCTCTAATGTATTTATATAGTAAGGACTCATGGATACTTATTTCATTCTTTGATAGTAGGGATTCATATATTTATTTTATTGAGAATTACATCCAGTTTATTTTTCATTGTTTTGTTATTTTGAGACAGAATCTTGATGTGTAGCCGGGACTGTTCTCAAATCGGAGGCGGTCACCCTGCCTCAGCCTCCTGAGTGCTGCAACTACAGGCATGTGTCACCATGTCCAGCCAGTTTATTTATATATATTTTCTGAGATACTCCACTAGAAAATAAGTTTATAAGGTTTGATATCTCACTTGTCTTGTTCATAACAGTGGGTTAAAAGCCAAAATAATTCAGGGCACAGGATACACATTCATTTTGTTCATTTCAGTGAGTAAAAGATGAAATAAAATCCAGATTTTTGTTCATCATCTTTCATCTTTTAATAAAAGAGACAAAGAGTATAGAGGAAACCAAAGAACTTTTGATGCAATCATAGTATGTAATGAGAAAGCTATGAGAAATCTGTTTTATATCAGTACATATTTTTGAGCACTATAAGAACTTATAGACTGGATGTAATAGTGGATGCCTATAATCCCAGCACTCAGGAAGCTGAAGCAGGAGAGTAGCTGCAAATTTGAGGCCAGCCAGGGCTTTGTAATAGATTCAGGGCCAGGGCTGGGGATTTAGCTCAGTGGCATAAGCGCCTGCCTGGCAAGCGCAAGGTCCTGAGTTTGATCCCTGGTACCGCAAAAAAAAAAAAAAAAAAAGGAAATAAATAAATAAATTCAAGGACAGTGTAACCCGTATAGTGAGACACTACCCCACCCCACAAAAAAGAATCCCAAGCAAATACTGGCAATTTAAACTGAAAATCTGGCTTCAATGGGCCAACAGTGTTAGATTAATCTCTTACTGAGATTTGCATTAACTCAATACAACCTATCCAGAGAATAGCACAGAGTTCCATGAATGGCAGTTCATGTGTATCACCAATATTTTCTTACCTTCTGCACAGTAGCCCATACATCCCTGAGTGGGTTGTAGAAAGTACACGAAAAAACTCCCACAGTTTCTCACAGGCACTGGGATTTGAAAGAGACAGCAGTCTTTCTTAGGGCTAAACAAAAACTGCCAGGTGGCACAAGCTGTCAGATGCTTGGTCTCCCCAGCAGGAGGCAGAGTTTCTGAAGCTCTTAGAGACAGCCAGATGGGGGCCTGAGTTCCACAGTGGTTCATCTTTTTGCATCATAGAACACAAAAGTTGAAAATGAACTATATCTTCACATAGAAAAATCAACTTTGCATTTTCTTCAAAACAATCTTTAGAACACAAAAGTACTAGTCATTATAAAATCTTTAAGCTTATACCATAAAAGAACAGTAAATTTAACATATACATAATTTAAAAGTATCTCACAATTTTAAAACAATGTTATTCAGTGTAAGTACTTTTATCCTATTTGTTACATTTTATTATAAACTAGAGAAATTTGACATATGATAAATTACTAAAATAGATGATTTGCTGTAAAACAAGATAAGGAAAATTTATCTTTCATACTTATAGCACAAAGACAAACTGATTTAAAAATTTTTGACCAAATTTCTGGAAATACTTTATGTAAGAAATTAATGAATATGTCAAGATATAGCAAAAAACATGTGAATGCAAAGACTGTTCAAAATCAGGTGATGAAACAATTAATAATTTGGAAGATAATGAAGTTAAAAGCATATCTGAAGTCTATTATGAAAGTCAGTTCCAGTTAAAAAATGGAGTTAAACAGAAAAATTTTTTAAAGAGTAGATAGCTGGGCAGAATTTATTAAATGTGTGATCTTGGAGAAGGCTCAACATCCTTTTCTTTTATATTAGATAGTTAAAGCATTCACCTCAAGGTGCTATGGAAATATGTAAATGTGATAATGTTTGTAATTGTGTTGCCCTGACAGTATTGTGGCTCAGTGTTTCTAAACCATATTATAATTCTTAGTCTTGCTATTTTTATATTTAAAAACAAATGAAAATATCACAAAAAAGATTAATAGATATGATTAAAAAATAATTTTGGAGTATAAAATAAATACGAGTTAGATAAGGAGTAAATTTTGTAAGTGATGTTATATTTAGTATGCTAATTTATTTATTGCTATATCATTATATTTATTAATTTCATTTTCATTATGTCATTATCCAGTCAAAAACTCTAAGAGTAAAAAAATATTATTTACAAAAGAAATTCAGGTAAGAATATTCAGTACTGAAAAAGGCATTTTCTATTAGAATAGGAATTAAAATTTTGTATTGTTTTATATAACTTCTATAAAAGCTCAAAAAGACATTAAGTTTCACTAACCTTACAAAAATCAATCTTGCTAAATACTAAAATTCTATTAATCAGAATATGTATATTTGTTAATTCAGAATTACTCATATCAAAATTCTGAATTTGCACACACAAGGCAGTCACTTAATAAATATGGCATATTTATTTACTGCAAAATAATATTTTCAAAAATGATTTAGAAAGGCCTTGTAATTCAGGAACATGCTAGTGCTGTAACTGTAACTGGAAAAAAAGCATATTAACAAAACATAAGAAAAAAGAAATAATAGCAAAACATTAATTATAATTATGCCAAATGTATGAACTATTAGTAAATGTTCTATTCCTGTCCTTTATTTTTTTAAGTTTTCTATACTGCTAATGTGTTAAACATTCCAAGCAGAAATTTATTTAATTAGACCTGTATTATCCTGTAGTAAAAAAGAAAATTACATTGATTCTCCATTTTGGTGCCCTAAATTCTTGGTTCCAGAAGGGGTGGGGTGGGGTCAGGGCCAAGAAACACTTTTCCACGGGAACAGTAGGACAAGTCTCACCGGACAGCCAGGAAAAGAGACAGAAAGCCTTTCACCTTCATTTAAGTTTGTGTGAGCTTCTACATCAACTGTAGCTCATTTTACCAAAGAAAAAGAACACAAATGTTTAAGAATATAATGAATTACCTGCAACTTTCCTGAACTTTATTTTTTAAACCTTGATCCTTTATTAATTTTCAGGGTTTTGCAAGCAAAACGTGACAAAAGTGACAAATAAAAAAGACAGCCCTAATGACATAAAATAAAATCAACTATTAAAGTGTGAGCTTTTCTCTGAATTTTTAAGTTAATATTAAAAATGAAAATCATTTCTGTTTCTGCCTAATTCACACAATGTGGGTAATGATGAGGAAAAGAAATCTGTTAAGAACTAACCCGTATGACACAGTCTCCCTCCAAGTGTTAAATGGTATCTGCGGGCCTTCCAGGTTAAAAAACCATGACCTTCAGGAATGAAATCATACCTGATACAGTGTATGATTACAGAAAATAAATGCTTAGGTGAGGATGAGCACTTCTAATAACCTGGCAGGGTGCACTGGCCTATTTCTGGACTATCGCAGCTCCTGTGTTAGCCAGGTATCACAGCTGAACTCTCCTGAAGTCTGGACTTTGGGGAGACCAGACAGCTGAGAGAGACGCAGCTTATGAGAAAGAGACAGGGAAGCTGCCCAGTAATCACTGGCCATGAGACTCACGCTTGGCCACTGTCTTCATCTGTACAGTAACACTGGCTACCTCAAAGCCTTAGAAAGATCAAATGAATTTACAATTGATAATGTTCCCTAGTGCAGAAAATGTATGAATCACAAAACGTATGTCTTTATCATCTTGATACTGAAGACAGTGAGGTAAAGGATTTCAGCTTTTATGAAATTTAGACTTTGTCCTGCTTTTATAGCATGAGATGTAGTCCCATAACGGGAGTTGAACTGAAAGGTCATAAAGAGATGAAGGCTATTCCTGAAAGTCTTATCACCTGAATGGGAACTATTAATGAATTTGAGGAAATCTGAATCCAAAAATTGTCACTCAGAGAAGTAGAACTCTCAATGGAAACTCAAGGAGGACGTTGGTAAGGAATCTAAGCTAGCTGAGCAATATCCAAGAAATCAGGTTTTGTGTTTGTTCTTCTTGTACATCGAATGTGATTCCATATATGAAAGTTCAAAAATAGACAAAATTCAGCCTGGTGTGCTCAAAAACAAAATGCTTGTCTGTTCACAAACAATAAAAACTAAAGTATGTTGGATGCACAGATTGTGGGGTTAGGGAAAAAGCCTCAGCAGGATGAGGTCAGATAACTGAATTTGCTGTCAGTGCACTGCTTGCGAATTGGGGCCAGGAAATACTTGGAGATTTCACAGCCAGGCTACGTTCTCTTCAGTCTTCCATTAGGGGGTGCTCTGCCCGCAGACGCCTTGGCAGGGGAGCCCACAAGAGCAGGCAGCTAGCAACTGCCAACAACTGAAGCACAAAAATACATAGCATTTATTGTTTGCAGGTTATTTATGGTGAAGCCCTGGAGAGTAATTTTTTATATTTGATACTTGGTTCTTTTATGTGCTAGCTGGGTAACTCTAGGGGGATTATTCCTAAGAAGGTATGTGCTCTGTGCTGTTTGACGGAAATAATGACTGATAGACTGACAGAGTTGTCAAAATTACATAAGCTATTATGGGTAGAAACACTATGGACTGGATGAGGCACAACATTAACTGCTGTTATTAGTAATATTATTGGACAGGAATATTCTTTTGAATTAAGTCAACCTATACATAATGAAGCCTATGTGAAAATAAGTCCACTGTAAGACTCAGTCGTTATATAAAAAAGCATGGAAGGGAAGCCACATGCAGTTTTCAGTGAGCTCACGTACCTCAACACATTTGGTTGGCATCTCCGCAGGTTGATCAAAGATGAGGAATCGATACCACCCGCGGGGAAGAGAGTGGTCACAGATGAGGTCTTGAGCATCGGCCTGCTGGAGTTGCCGGGAGTCGAAATGGACACTTCGGTAAGGATTTTGAAGAATCTGGTGGCCCCCGGGAGAGCACTCCTGGGCTACATAGAAAAACAGGTGTGTTGATGTGATGTGTTCAGTTCTCAGGTAAAATTGATTTCCAAAACAAAAACAGAAGAAATAAACCACAATAGTATAGGAAACCTGTGTGAACTGTCTTAAATCTCTCAAAAATCACGGGTGGCTGAGCCTGCACTTTCCGTGGACACACTAAACAGCTCAACAATACCCTTCAGAATGCATTTTTGAGGGACTTTTAGACCTTTATTTTCATTTTATTTTAACAAGGCAATAGAGCTGATTGTTCTAACTTGAGTTAGAACATATTTTGATCACCTCAAATTCAGGCCTTGCAGTGATTCTCCTTGGGCCTAAGTCCTCCAGATTTGAGTTAATCCTCCTGGAGTTTTCAGCCCAGGAAAACACATTCTCCAACTCTAATCCTATCTTTGCCAGATCCTGGAATGCAGCAAACCGAACTAATCTTTTAAGGTTGGTCTCATTTTGGTAACTCATAAAGTGCCTTCACATAAAGTTTCCTGCCTTTTTGGTGCTGGAAAGAATATAAGTTGTTAGTCTAGTTCCTGTCTCCCTCCATCTTTCCCTCCCCTCCCCTCCCCTCCCCTCCCCTCCCCTCCCCTCCCTGCCCCCATATTGGAGTTCCCTTTATGATGAACCGTGGGAAAAGCAAGGGAGTAGAGAGGAGAAGGTTTAAAGAAGAAACAAGAAGAGTTCTGAGTTACTTTCAAGGAATCTATTTTCTTTGTGTTAAACAAGTGGGACAGAGTCATCTTTCCGTAAAGATCTCTTGTACTTTAGGAAATCTGATTTTAAAAGATAATATGAAACATTTCAGGTGGAGAAAGGAAGAAGAGGGATGAAAATGGAATTAACACGTGTTATGCAGGTGTACCAACACACCAACTCCACACACAGAAGGTAAACAATATCTACTACAAACATTTACAAGTCATTTTTTAAAAATCACACATAAAATGTAACTTAGTGACTCACTGTAAGAATATAGTATTCTCAGATTAATTATTTCCGAGGGTGGGGGTGGAAATCATTTAACTTGCAATCTAACTCTTCGGATAATTGAGGTCCACTTGCCTCTAGGATACTTGGCATGTTCAGCAAAGGCGTCGGACTGCAGATTAACAGGGATGCTAAGCTCAGGATACCAGCAGAAAACAGGAAAACACAGCACCCAAGGTCTGAGAGGAGAGAAGGCTGCAGCCATCAGCGCGCAAAACAGAAGTGCAGAGCAGCACAGCAGGAAGCGACCTTGCAAAGACAGCGCAGGACTCGGAGGAGATTTGTGGGGAACAAACCTCGTGGCCCCCGGAGAAGCCGCGACTTACCTGGCTGAGCTCTGCCCGGGGCCAGGAGCATCAGCGCCAGGGCCCAGGGCCAGGCTCCGCCGGGCATCGCTGCTGCTGCAGTGCACTGGAGTCCACCCGGGTCTCAGCCTCCGCGGGGACCCCGAGACTCCACCCCTCCTGCCCCGCCCCTCACCACGGAGTCAGCGTCCCCGTTCCCTGCACCCCTCCGCCGCCCAGGGCGCCACCCTGCGTCCCCACGGCCGGGGCAGGCGTGCAGCTGCAGCGTGGTGACCTCAGAAATTGCTCTGAAGGACCTGCAGTAAGATAATGCCTGCGACTTTCTCTTGGAAGGGGCAGCAGCCCCGACCCCAGGGCCCAGGGATTCAGAGTTGCTGCGCAAGTGAGCAGCTTCCCAGATGCTCCGGCGACCTAAGGTCTCCTAGGTGAACCCTTGGGAGAGGAGTCAGCTGCCAGCAGAGGGCAGTGTGGGGCACCTAGCGCCCGCTATGGCTCAGACCACAATTTTGTCTGTACAAGTTACAGGTTCTGGGCTCAGACTACTCATGGTGGTGAAGACAGGGGGTTCCCAAATTATGTCTTATTTTTAAATTGTTAATGCGTATTAATTATTTGAAAATAAATTACCACTCAAAAGCTTAAAACCTGTCTCAAAAACTGAAAGTATTAACCCTTATGGAAAAGAAATTCTCAGTGCTGAACAAAAGTTGTTTCCAGATCCCTTTGACATCCTACAAGGCTGCCCCATTTTTTAAGATCGAAGTGAAATATTTTTTTGAAGGACTGGCTAGGCAATCTTCATATTAAAGTCTAAATGTGGATGAACAATTTCATGTGGGCAAGATGAAAACTTAGAGATTTGTTAATATATATATATATATATATATATATATGTATGTATGTATGTATATAACCTTCGTTTCAACTTATATAGTATTCATTAAGCCGAAGCAGAAAAGTAAACATCAGTTTTCTCAGTATATTTGTGAATTCCAGAAAAAATAACAGTTTTAATCATGTAGCACACCTTTGTAACTCGTCTAGCAGTAGCTATAGAAATACAAACTTTCATACTTTCTTGAAAGATAGTATCATGTATCTAACTTAGTTTATTTCATATATTTCCTTGAAGTTTTCAATTTACAATGACCAGTCTATGAATTTATAATGCACTTATACCAAAAACCAATTTTTCATCATATAAGCTGAATTAGGAAGGGAAAAAGAAACTAAAAACAAGAATTTTTAAGCTCTCAATGGAAAATTTAAACTGGTTTTGATCTCCAAGAATGTACTAGACACAGGACTATTTAAAAAACCCAAAAAGTAATAAAAATAGTGTTCTACCGTGTATCTGGTAAGATTAATCAGGAATTTTTGTACGGTGTGATTTTTTGTTACATTTATTATTTCTGAAAAGAAGAAAAACATCAACATACCCTCATTAAAGAGACTGACAGCGTTTGTCAACTTCAGGACATGTTGCTGGAGGTAAGTAAGAATGTCTGTGGGAAGACGTGAAGTCACTGCTAAATACAATACAGGTAGCTTGGATGGAAAGCAAACTTTTCAGGAGAAAATTTCAAATGATGATTTCCTTAGAAAATAAAGCAGTTCAGGTGTTACAGTTTCATTTAAAAAGTAACATGAGCCTTAATGGTCCAAGTACCAACTTCAGAGGGCAGAATGGCCCAGAGCACAGTGGCTAAGCCCACAGGACCCTGGCTTCACTCCTTCATCTGCAACTGTTTTCTGGCTGTTTGAAACTTTGAGCAGCACATTCACCCCCTCAACCAATGGTAATATCCTATAGAGTTTAATAATCACAACTGTATGTGTGTTGTTCATGTGAGGAGTAGACTGGGCTTAAGGGGGAGAGAGACAGAGACAGAGACAGAGAGACAGAGACAGAGAGAGACAGAGAGAGAGAGAGAGAGAGAGAGAGAGAGAGAGAGAGAGAGAGAGATGCTCTTGGTATAACGTCTGGTCCAGGGTAGCTATTGTGACTGAATATAATAGTTTCCTGTTATGAACATAAGGGATAAAAGCTATGTAATTAAACCTTTTCCTTACCTCTTTATTACAAAGGTGTGCTATTCCTCAGTATTATTTTATTACAGTGTACTGCATCATTTGGAGCTGAATGAAAAATATACCGTTACATTACACAAATTCTTCCTAAGTGTTGCTAAATGAGACTGCTCTTGCTTCTTTCTGAAGCCATCCTGGCAGCAGTGCCAACCCCAGTGGGACAAGAGATTCCCTTGTGTGTGTTTATTTGAGCTACACACAAGTGCACGCGGAAGCAGAAACCAAGCCATACTTGGCTCTGACTGTGGCAGAACAAGGAATGCTGAACTGCAGAGAGAAGAAGATGAGGAGAGGAGAAGAAGGAAAGGGAGGGGAGGAGAAGACAAGGAGAGGAGAGAGGAAGAGGGCAGAAGTGGGGAAGGGAAGGGAGAACCACGTGAGAGTAGCTGAGAAACAGGAAACCACCCACATGCATAGGGATTTGGAGAGACACAGAGAAAGCTAGACATAAAAACAGAGACAGACAGGAAGGAGGAGATTAACTTCTTCGTGGTTTTCTACTCTATGGCTCTGGACTCTTTGGAGGATTACTTATACTTCCTGCTGTGAAGTTCCATGAAAAAATCCTAATACATAGTGTATTAAATTGAGTTTAGTGAGTTTGAATTTGTTTCTTTGTTGTTTACCATTAAAAGATAGTGTGTAACACCAGTAGAAAATATAAACGATGTAAATTATTACCATTGGTAAGGAAAAATAAAATATCATCATAATTTATACTTAAATACTATGGTCATTTTGATACTCCCACCTTGCCAGATATCAGACACCAACTATGTGTTCCCCAAAACAGAATAAATTTTAAGGAACAACAAAGGTTAAGAGTAGGAAATATTTATTGAAAAAGAGAGATACAGCTCCTGAGAAATAGCAGAAGACACGAAAAGTGGTAACTGCAGACCCCACTTTGCAGAAGAAATTTTGTAGAGCAAAATTGCAGGTGGTACAAAATTCTGAGGTGGGTACAAAATCATGAGGTGGGCACAACATGGGACAAAACTGTGATCAACCAGTAAGATTAGAAGTCTAGCAGCTGAGGTAACAGTGATCCAATGAGGAAGCAAGTCAGCTAGCAAGTGCACCTGGAAAGAACAAGGACTTTTCTAGCAAGAGACAAATGAGGGTGTGAGGTGACCCACAGCTGCCTAGACTTCTTTGGTCAAGGTGAGCACAATCCCCAACCCGTTCACCGTGTCTCCATCTTGAGACCTGACCCTCAACAGATGCACCTCCAGCCTAGTCCTGTCTGACTGCCTGTGATATTTCTACCTAACTAAGCTGTCTATAATAATTTGTTAGGAGGGAAATAGACCAGTTGTCTGGCCACAAAAGCCAGTTAATCAAAAAGCAGTAAGGAAAAGTATGGTTAGATCATTTGCACAGTTACAAGAATCAGCAAGTATACTCAGTGTTTTAAAGGAAAATGATGTCATGTAAGACAGACTGAAATATCATAGCTGATTACTTTTATTGTGGTTAGTTACAGAGATTCTAACTGAAAATAGCTGCTGGAGGAGCAGAGGTATGATTCACTGATATTGAAGCCCAACAAATAAAATTTACCAAATATGTCCTGTCCTTAATTTTCATGCATAAACTGTTTCCCCTATTCCTTCTTTTCTTTTCTTGCATTTCAAACAGCTTCTTATTTGAATTTTCTACAAATTAATGAGAAAAAGCTGAATGAATAGGGAATCAGTTTTATTTAAATATATTAAAGAAGAAAATAGATTCATAACTGAAAAAGACATGCTCTCAAATCTGCACTACATTTTACTCATGATGTATCTATCTTCTTCTTGAATTATAGGAAAATCATAATATTTAAAAGAAGAATTAAAGTGAATAACTCATTTAGTTTTCCTTCGAAAATTCCTTTAAACTTGGTTCCTCCGTTAGTTTTCCCTGTTGCGGGTGATATTGAGCAATAGACGCTTCTGAGCTTGCTGCTTGTTAGGGTTGAACGGGGTGAGGGTTGGGTGGGGCAGGAAGCCGCTGCTCCCCTGGCTTGCGGGTTAATGAGGAGGATTCCACCGGGAGAGGCCTGCTCCCTTCTGTTGTCATTCGTGCTCTGCCTTGTGGAGGAAGAAGAAAGTCTAGGAGCACCTGGTGCTGCCGTGCTGGCCCAGTTCACGGCCAGGACCCGCGGGCCCCTGCAGAACACTGCGTCCCCGCTTTCCTCCGCGTGGGTAACCGCGCAGCGCCACACCTCTGCCAAGGGCAGCCAAGATGAGCTGAAGGGAGTAACGCCAGGGCTCTGCACCACGCCTCCCTGTGATAAACGGTGAAAGTACCAATAGTACAAAGCCACCGGTGACACCTGGCGCCTGCCCAGCGCTTCAAATTTAAATACTCATCTTTTCTCCTTCCCAGGCCCTGTCCCCAGCTCACCTGACAAATGCCACTTTCCAAAATAAAGCAAATACACTACTGCCTCTGGCGGGCTTAGTTGCTTATCCTGCAGGTCTCAGTGAGTTTCACCTATCAAATGCACTGTTTAAATTGGGTCTTTATTCTAGGTCATCACTTAAGATTATACCATTTATTTCCTGTCTGTCTGTCTGTCTGTCTATCTGTCTATCACCAATCTAATCTATCTTTCTGTTTGTCTGACTGTCTATCATCTGTCTGTCTTTATCCTGAGAATTGAATTTGGGTCTTTTACTCCATGCTCTACACATTATTTATTGACATTCTGATACCGAGTCTTAACTGTCCAGGCCAGGCTCTAACTTGTGATCGTCCTGGCTCAGCGACCCAGAGTGCTGAGATTATAGGTGTGTGCTGTGTGACCAGTTCTTATTTTCTGTTAGTAACTAAAGCAAGTACAGTGTTCAATCTATATTCTTGCTTCTTGTGTCTTCTACAGCAGTGTAGAAAGGGCAGCAGGCAGGGCTCTTGCTGACTTCTCTATCCCTGGCAGGAATGGACGTAAAAGAAGTATTTTTAGAGAATAGCACTCAGTGTTCCTACTAGATGAGATGAGACTTTGATTCCAATTTTGTTATACTCTAATTAAAGCAATAATCCATCAAAAATATCTCCATTAATTTGGGATATATTATTTTATAAATTAAATATAAAAAGCACTCATAATTCAAGTATTCTAGATGATGTTTTCTAATTTTTCAAACCCTGTTAGACTTCAATTACTATTTTTACAAATTACTACAAATGTGTGCTGTAAAGCAACACATAATCGGAACTTGGTTTTCTCATTTTACAATCTTACATTTCTGGTGGTCAGAAGTATGAAAAACTTTCTCACATTGTTAATTTTGTCTCATTTATTTTATATTTTATTATATTTTTCTGTTATTTGTTTTTCTTTTTCCATTTCTCT